AAAGGTGGGCACGAGGCAAGAATAAATACAGCTTTCAAAGGCCCCCCCAACCCCGCGCCCGCTGCTGCGTGGCAGGGTGAAGGCATTTACAGGAGGAAATCTGTCAGCCAGAATCCAGCACAGGAGCAGACGTGGCCGGAAGGGGTTCAGGGCCGGCTCGTTCGCATCCTGATCTCCTCAACCAGGCTCTCCCTGCGAACGTTCACCTACGCGGGGGGAGAAGCACAAAGTTGATCAATACCACACGATGCTTGATGCATCGTGACCTCCTCTGGTCCCAGGGGAATGGCCCACACTGTGCTTGTGGCCCTGTGTCTGGGGAGATGGCACCACGGTGCTGGCACCAGTCCCTCCAGGGGGATGGAGGGGGCTGCAGAACACACGGAGCTGAACCTGTGAGAGCAAGCACGTGCCTGCAACCCTGCCAAGCCCTCTCCTGCCCAACAATCGTAACAGCCATGCTCTTCCTGCTGTTTCCTACTGGTTCCAAAGCCAAACCAGTGCATAGATCAGCACTGGTCCTCACTCCAAGAGGGCACCTCCAGGACCCTCAGCGATGGTCCCGTGCCTGGGACAGAAAGCGTGAGCAGCCATTCATCTCACTGAATTGCCCCTCCCTGTTTCCAGGCTCCTGAACTGAGGAATAGCTGGGAGTTCAAGGAAGCCACATGATGGAGAACTCTCCAGAGCTGGAGACAACAGTGCTCCACAGCTCCAGGAAGATGCATGGGGTGAGGAACTGGAATGTGAGGTGTTACAGAAGTCCCTGGAGAGACCACTGCTTGAAGAGATCAATGTGTAAAATCCTGAGAACCTGTTACAGGGGCCTTGGTGGCAAACTGACACCGGGGCATGCGCTCCACAGCAAGCCAAGAGGGGCTGAGGAAACTCACCTCACCCAGTTCTCCAAAAACGCACCCGCAAGGCCACCACCATCAGTCCATAGGTCTCACCTCGGGGCTGGCAGCCCTGGCTCGCACCTCTCTGCCTACTGCACGTGGAGACCCTTCCCCTCACCGCACCTTCTGCGTAAGCAGCTTTGTTAAGCCTTGGAGGCTCTTCCCATCAGGTGGAAGTGCCTTACTCTGCTGATGTCCCCTCTGGGCACTGCACTCAAAACATGAGCTGGCAAAGCCACCTTGCTGTGTACAACCTGATGGCACTGCTGCAGAGCAGGGCACAGATGGCACTGTTCTAGGCACTGGAACAGGTTGCCCAGAGAAGCTGTGGCTGCCCCATCCCTGGCAGTGTTCAAGGCCGGGTTGGATGAGGCTTTGGGCAACCTGGTGTAGTGGAGGGTGTCCCTGCCCATGGCAGGGGGGTTGGAACTAGATGATCTTTGAGGTCCCTTCCAACTCAAACCATTCCATGATTCTATTCTATGATTTATGATGGGTCTGGAGGGGTGGTCTGAGCTGGATGAAGGGTGCAGAAGCCAATCCTGCCTCACGCCAAGCTACCACGAGCCTCACCTCCTCCCTGGTTGCCACGACCCGCAGCTTGACGACTCCATCCTTGAGCTCCTGCTCACCCACAATGGCAACGAGAGGGATGCCCGTGTCCTCGCAGTACTGCAGCTGATTCAGCAGCTTGGGGTTCTTCTTGTATAGCACTTCTGCCTGGAAGAGAAGCAGAGCACACCACCATGATCAGCACTGGCCTGTTTTTCTGCACTCCCTCAACCAGGCATTGCTGGGCCAGTCTGCTAATTGCCATCTGGTGAGCATGGAGGGGTGTTGGCGGGGAAAAGATGGGCTAATGGAGAAGGCTGGACATTACAGCTAACGAGGAATGCAACACAGCTCAAAGGTACTCACAAGACACTGCTTATCCTGGGAAAGCACCAGCTCTAGTCTGGGTGCACCAGACCAGGGCTGGCACCTGTGGTGTCCCTACGGGGTCAGGAGCCCAGCAGAGCACCCAGGCATCCTCCTCTGCTCAGCCATCCAGGGAGTCTACCCGCAGCAGGCAGGGAGCAGGGCCCTGCCACCCAGCTTGCCTTTGGAAAACAGCCCAGGCCTCTCCCTGGCCCCACTCTCCCCAAATTGCAAGGCTCCAGGGATTTTTTGCTTTTTGTGGAAGTGGCATGGTATCCCAGCTGCCATGCAGCAGGGGCTGGAGCGTTGCCTGCTTTGGGAATCTGTCCTGAGAGAACGGACAGAGAGCAGCCCCTGCAGTGTTACAGGGCTGACCGAGGCACGCTGCCCAGCCCTTCCTGGAGAACACCCGATTTGAGACACTGAGAAGAGGCAGGCTCCATTCAGGAAGGCAATCTGCTGCCCACCTTCTCCCTGACTCCTTCCTCCCAAAGCAAAGCCAGATCTGGTTCATTCCTAGCATAGAGAGTGGACCAGGCATCTCCTGACTTTGCCATCATCTGGTCATACCTTGATTCCAGCATCCCACAGCTCAGAGATGAGCTTCAGTCGCTCCTCAAGGAGCTTCTTTTGGGCAGAGGCCACCAGCACCTGTGTTTCTGTTGTCCTGATCTTTTCCTCTGAGGCCTAGAGAAGGGACAAGACTCAAACGATGCCATGGACATACAGAGATATCTGAGACCCTATGAGTAGGATGGGTGACCAGTCCAGGTCCATCAATTTAGCAGTGAAGAGGATCAGGCTCAGTGGGACGAACACCATAAACTCAGGAGCGTCACAGAGCCCCCACAGCCACCATCCTGGAGCAGAATCTCATCTCCTGTGGTTGTTCCATGATGGGGGCTTAACACAGCCTCCCTCCTGCGCTGCAGGTGCACCCAGACTGGAGGATGTGCTGAGAATGAGCAACTTCCCTGCCAGCTGCTGCCTACGGGCTGTTCCTCCACACCCAAAGGTCTCCCAGAGATCTGCTCCAAGCAGCTCAGGAGCAGCAAGTCCAGCAGAAGCAGAACAGAGGCAGCTGCTTGCTCTACAGCTGAGCTGCTAACCAGGGGTTAGATTAACAGCAGCAAGCCAAGATGCTCCAGCGCTGTCAGGAGTCAACTGCTCCCATGGCAGATGCTGGATTTTTTCCCTGCCGCTGCTTTTGCCGAAGGGAGAAGCCTTTAAAAGGTCACCTGCAGAGGAACAAACCTGGCCAGGACTGGAAGCAGTGGGGGAAAAATTCAGTTTTCACTTAGAAATCCCAATTGTCTGGCCACCAAGACACAACTCCCCACAACAGGCCTCTGGGGGAGGGAAATACGCGGCAGCATTTTGGGAGCCGACAAGGACCTACTGAACACCCATTGATCGGGACAGAGACCAACACATTGATGCAGCAACTCCGGTGAGGGGGAACAGAAAAAAGGTTTCTGGGAAACCCCCAGAGGCACTGCGCTCCCTGCCCTGGGACACCCACTCCCTGCCTGGTCTCCGTAGTGCCCTGGGCAGGACGAGCAGTCGGGCGAGGCTGCTGTCTCCCCACCAGCCTTGCAGAGCCGTGCCGCCTTGCCAAGGAGGACAAGAGGTCACACGGATGCCTAACAGTGGGGAACCCGAAGGCACCTGACCTGGGTACCTGGTACTGCTCAGGATTAAAGTGCCCCCTCCAGCTGCAGCTGAACAAGGCATGTCTGAGGGCTGCTGGAAGAGGGGTCTCGTCTCCAGTGGGAGCCTCGAAGCTCTCTCCCAAGCCAGAGAAAACTGGATTACGTCCTGGTTCTGATATCTGCTGCAGAGCACAGTAAAGGCCTGGCTGGCTTCTCCATCAAAGACTGCAGCAAGGAAGACTCATTTCTGCATCTGCTGGACTCAGGGTACATGGGGAAGACATAAATCTTTGCTCTTTTTCTGTGCTTAGATGAGCACCAAAGGCACCTACCTCCACTCTCTGCTCCAGGATGGAGAAGATCCGCTCGATCCCAATGCTGACCCCCACGCAGGGCACCTTCCGCCCCTTGGGATCAAACATCCCCACCAGCCCGTCGTAGCGACCGCCTCCGGCCACGCTCCCAACGCTGGCTGCCTCCTCCACATGGTCGTTCTCCTGCTGCAGCAGGACAGCCTCGAAGATCACCCCCGTGTAATAGTCCAGGCCCCGCGCCAGGCTCAGGTCGAAGGAGATCTGCAGGGCACAGGGAAGCCCCGTCACTGGGCGCACCCGGGAGGCCCGGGCTGCCCGGCCACGAGGGCAGCACCTCCACCAGCCTCTGCACCTCCTCACCTTCCCGGTGATGCCAAACAGGGTCAGGTACTCAAACAGCAGCTTCATGTCGCCCAGCCCCTCCTTGGCCAGCTTGTTCTGGGACAGCTTTGGGTCCTGGAGAAGCCGCTCGATCAGGTCCAGGCCACCTGCAGGAGCGAGCCATGCCTCAGGTGTGCCTGCACCCCTCTGTCGCTGGCCCTGCCTGGCCTGGGAGAACAAGGCCAAGGGCTCGACCCCACAGTGCTCACCGTGCAGCTGGACGTACTCCCCGATGCGATCCGCAGCCTCGGGAGAGAGCCCCTTCTCTCCCACCATCTCGCTCCTCACTTCTTCCCACGGCATCTGCGAGAGGAGAGAAGAACATCAGCCACTGCTCCAGGGACGTGGTGTCTCCTGGGGAAGGTCTCTGGTGGTCCTGTCCAACACAGATGAACAGACGTACCTGCCCTGAACAGATCTTTACACGGCAGAACCCCAGCAGTGTCAGCGTGGTTAAGAGGTGCGTGAGAGAAGCAGCAGATCAAATGCTCTCAAGAGCACGGTCGTTAACTCCATCTCTTCTACTTCTGCACAGTCTGTTCATACCCCAACCCTGCAGGCAGCAAAGCTGCCCAAAAACTTGAAGCCCCAGGACAAACACTTTGGTTTTGATTTCTGGCCAGAATCGAACACCAGTATTGTAAAAGCACCAAGTTTGGGAGATGTCTTGGTGCTGTGGTTTCCCTGGTTAGTGACTCACTCATAAACACCACCCAAGAAAAGTGTTGCTTGTCATGCCCACCACCTGGAAAGGTGCGAGGAGATGGCTGGGTGACACAAAAACCCAACGTAAGCAGAACACTCATAAACACCACCCAAGAAAAGTGTTGCTCGTCATGCCCACCACCTGGAAAGGTGCGAGGAAATGGCTGGGTGATGCAAAAACCCAACGTAACCAGAATACGCTGCAGTTTTCTGACTGACCAAGGGGTGAAAGAGAACCAGTCTGGCTCACATCCAGCTGCACTGAGATAAAGCACAGCGTTTCAGTACGAAAACAAGGAGATTATCCCATTCTAAAAAAGCCCAATCCTCCCTTCCTATTGTTTTTCCACACGTACTGAGCCCCAAAACCTACACTTTGGTCATGCCTTTGCAATGGATGTCACTGCTAACAGCACTTTAAGTGAGTCTTCCTCTAGCTGACTTCATTCGGATGAGGCCTCCAAAGGAAAACACAGTCCATCCTTGAACAAAGTGACAAGGGGACGCTTCTCCCCCCTTGAATGGGATGAGACACGAGGCTGCTTTGTTTAATAGGGTTTCACAGGAAGGTTCAGAGTGCTTCTTTAAGCAGTCAGCCCACAGCATCCCCCACATGACTGAACACACAGAGAAATTCGCCTCCCAATTCTACTTTGGATCCCGAGCCAAGAAAACTGAGTTTCTAGAAGGTACTTCATTTTAAGGTTCCTCTTCCTTAGCTATTAGTAGAGGATGGTATACATATTTACAGGCTGATCTTCACTATTTTTGTATCTGACTAGGAGCTGCAGCCAAGACAATTAGCCACAAATAAAAAGTTGGACCTACACTGGCACCTTTCCCTCCTCCCAAAGGGCCACACAAGGGCCTGAATCCCTTAGAGACCTCCGCAACAGCCAGTGCTCTTGAAGCAGCTTGCTGAGCACAAACCTGTGGTGCCTCCTGCCGTGGGTCTTACAGGAGCAGCTGCACAGAGAGGGCTGTTCTGTGTCACACCAGACCTGAGGAAGCCACACACTGATGTCTACACGCAGCACGTTTTATAAAACGTACCTGTGCTACATGCCCAAACCAGCAGAGGTGTGAATGAAGTGACCAGGTGACGTGGGATGGGCTACCACCATCTCACAGCACCAGGAAGAGAGATCAAGGCACTGAGCAGCATGTTGTCCCCGTGGCTTTTTCTGCCCTGCCGGAATGCTGCCCAGTCCAGGCCAGCTCCAAGGAGCCCTGTTCCTAGCGAAACGTGCTGGCACTGATGGCAGACACGGACGAGCGTGAAGACGTGCTGCAGGGGCACACGGTGCAGGGCAACGCCAAACAGAGCAGCCTTCCCCTGCCCAGGAGGCAGGAACGTGCTGCTAAAGTTATTTTTCAGGTCTGTGTTTCTGATCTCTTACTCCTCCTCACTCCAAATCCTTTTCTCTACTTCCAGGTAAAATAGAGAAACCTTGTCCATACATGTCCACCTCACTTCTCTTCGCTGTCTCCCTCCTGAGGGTCCCACAAGGCACACGCTGTCCTGTAGTGCCCAGATCATGCTGAAACAGCCTGGCCAGCCACACGCACGTGCTGCAGACTCCACGTCCTTGGCAGCGACGCCAGACACCACGTCACCAATCAAGGACAGCACCAGCTTGCAGGAGAGCGTTTATGAACAAGGTCCTGGACAACACAAACAACTCCGGCAGCCTACTCACCTGTGGACTTCCATGTGACTCAGCCCTGTCTCCTGCAAGTCACGGCCTTACAGACTGTGATCACAGACTCTCACCGATGACGACACTGCTCTACTCCTGCGTTACTACAGAGATTTACCGTTTGCGTCACGCTCGCCTTGCAACCCAGGTCTGAAATTTTAGCAAAGGTTGGACCGGATGATCTTTCGAGATCCCTTCCAGTCTGGGCTGTTCTACTGTTCCAGAACACAACTGGGATTCCTCACACCACCTGACTGAACCTGAGGCATCTGAAAAGGCTGTTCAATGCCCTGGCTCAGTCTGGGGGCGGGTTTTCAAGATCCTGGTTTATAAGCAACAGCACCTTAAGAAGGCCACGGTTTGGGATGCTGAACCGCCCATGTGAAGAGCATTTTTCCCCTCTCTCCTTTCCATTTGTCAGGACCTCATGAGATACTGGAGAAGAAAGCATGGCATCCAGTTTTCCCACGTGACTGCTGTGCCCTGTGTGCCTCCCCTCCAGAGGAATGGGGGAACAAGGACAACTCAATGTTTATCAGCATTTTCCAGCCAGTTCTCATGGACCGTGGTAAGCGCAGCCCAGAGGGACAGAGACTCACTGAAACTCCAGCAGCAGCAGTTGCAGCCCAGGGCTCCAGCCCGTACCTTATCCAGTTTGTCAACGCTGGAGCAGATCGTTCGGAACTTGCTGTCTGGGACACCACAAACTGCAAACATCCCATCGAGGATGCGCCGATCGTTGACCTGAGGGACAGGGAGCAAGTCATTAACTATGAACTCAAAACAGATGCTGCAGCTGCGTCCAGTTTCTCTCCTCTCTAGTTTTAAACATGGAAGAGAAATTAGCAGACGTCTGCCAAGATTTTTTGCTGTTTCCAATTTTTGTTGCTTTCCTGTTCCTGGGGAGCTAAGCTGCCTCTGTGCCCACAGCAGGTCAACTGGCACAACTGGCTTCTACCAAGCCTGGGTAGATCTATCACATTCTTCTTCTAGAGCCACAGATATCTCCACTCAACAGAGAAGAAAAACTAATGGGGCCTACGAGTCCTCTCATGTGGACACACCAGAACAGCTCAGGAACAGATCACGGATTAAGAAGGGACATCTGATTGTGTCAAAATCTCACTAAGGGATTTTTTTTTTTTTTTGGACAGTCTAGTGAATTCTGTAGTTTAATTATGCTCTGTAATAGTAGGTAATTGAGGCCAAAGGCTCAGCTGGATTCAACGTTTCCATGAGCAGGTGAGAACTTCTACAATTAAATTAGACAGGAGCAAAGACTGCTCAGGAGTCTGTAATCCTGCAGCACCAACACGAACCAGACAGGGGCTCATGGAAGACAAGAATAACTGCAGGCAAGTCACGCTGCTGTTCCCCATTGCAGGGGTGCCTCCTCATCCTCAAAGGCATCTGCTTTCACCACTGCCCAAACACCCAGCAGCTGGACAGGCAGTTCCTGTGCAAGGGCAGGCCCCCCTACCCAGTGGGGGCTGCACACAGGAGCACAACACCCAGCCCATGGTGCTCACCTCCCCTGCAGAGCCCAGCAACAACCCAGCTCTGGGTCTCTCTGAGACCCACCACCCTCCTGCACATCAGGCACTCCTACCCATTGCTCTCCTACTGCTCCACACCTTCCCCCACCCTGCCTGACTCAGGCACCCAGCACCATTTGCTGCTACACCAAGATAACAGAGGTGTTGTGAAGGAAATAGCAAGCTCAAACTACAGTAGGGAATGACTCTTCTTCTGGAAGAGACCTCAGCCCCAGAAAGGACATAGTGGGAACGCAGGAGTCTGCACACACTGAGGACATGTCCCTGCTGAGGGGGAAATTGGGAGCTGGGACAAGGGCAGGGATCCTGGACCAAAGCCTGTGTTTTACTGCAGGCAGTGAATACGACAGTCACCTGGTCAGTTGGCTGCTGGACATTTTGCAGGGGGCTGTGGTTAGAGCTAGAGAGAATTCTGCTAACTGCAGCCTCAGGAAACCTCCTTGCATTCCCAGCTAAAGGCAAGTCTGAGCCAATGTCCAGCCTTTTAGCATATACACCATGAGGAGGCGGATGAACTTCTGGATCAAGCCTTAGCAGGTGTTAGAGTCGATGACAATGACCATGGCTTCCCACTGCAGCACAGGGAAAACCGCCCAGTCTCACCTTAATGAGAAAGTCCCCGAGCTGCAGGTCGCTCAGGATCTCGTGCACGATCTTCAGGCACTCGGCATCGGGAATCATCGGGTCGAACTGGCCGGCGATGTCAAAATCCTGGGGCACAGGAAAAGGCAGTGACCAACACAGCACCGCTGCCGTGGCTGCAGCAGTACGGCTTCGACCCTGCTGTCAGCAGCAGTTTGTTTACAAAAAGCAACAGAAATGGGATGTAAGGGAGCACTAGCCCTTGCCAATAGGACTCAGAAGGGACAGGCTGTGGGTTATGACCCCCTCCTCAAAGGCAGCAGTGCTCTCGTGCCCACTGCACTGCAAAGAGTTTGCGCACTGCGTCGTGGCCAGTGCAGATGTTTGCGAGAAGCCATTCTGCTCTCCCTGCTTTCTGCTTCTGGAGGTGTGTGACCTGCTTCCTGCCTCTGACACAGCAGTTTACTGTGTGATACACTTGGAAACAGAGATCCTTGAAAAACAACAAAAAGGGGACAGCAGAGCAATCATCAGCAGTAAATAAATAGAACAAAGGAACCAGGAAGGGAAGGAGAAAACTAATTATTTGGTATGACCTAAAAGTCAAATGCTTCGCCTTGATTCTTAGGATATTCTTTTTTTAAAACACATGCAATCAAGTTAATGATCAGGGAAGACGAGAGAAGCGACCTCAACAGGGGCAAGCCCAAAGTTTCAACTGAGAAGGCAGAAAACGGAATCAGAAAGCCCGAGTGGTCTCCAGCAGAGATTACCAGATGAACCAGCACGTAGAAGTAAAGCCCAACAGCAAGGTGTCTGAATGGGCTGGTACCCCATGGCTGCAAAACAGCAAAGACAACATCAATGTTCACAGAGAAACAAAACGCAGAAGCAACAAGAGACCTCTTATCCAACTCCCATTTATGAATCCCCAGATGCAAAGTCTTCAAGGAGATTTTTAGAGTACAAGCATAATTTTACTTAAGTGGGTAAATTTCAGCATGGCTTCACCAAGCTTCTCAAATAAATTGGGGCCACGGAGGAGGAAAGAGATGAGATGAGTTAATCCCTGCTGGGCTGAGTGTGAGAAAGGCTGATGCAATCCCCCATGGAAGTTGGGCAAGGTCTGGTACAGTCAGGAATGTGCCGCTGCATGTGGCACAGGTGAAATCTCACTGATAAAAAAATGACCAAAGGCTGGTGAAAAAGATGCAGAAAAAGCGACCAGGCTGAGCAAAGCATCTCCAGGGAGATAAGGTAACAGAGCTTGATTTATGAGGCCTAAGGAGGGGAAGATTTCTCTAAACATTTTCTCAAATGTTTAATGTTTATCTGGGAAAGGGGAAGAATCCGTATCAAGGGATGACACTACCATTTAAAGAGCCGCAGTGGCACAAAGAGAAGTAAACTATCAGACCCAAAGTTTAGCCTAGATATTAGAAGACTGTTCCTAGCTATCCTAGGAGCGAGATCTTGGAACAGTCTGTCAGATGAGACAGCAAGCAAAGACCTCAATTTGCCTGGAAATGGGAATTCCCCAAGCTGGAGGTATCGATATGAGGCTCTGAGGACTGTGTCAGTACAGCAGAGCAAAGCCATTCCTTGGGGCTACCACACTCGTCTGAGAAAGCCACGAAGGAAGTTGCTTTCTCACCTGTTCTGTAATTTGGCCTCTGTTTTTTTCTCTGCCTTTGAAGTAAAGACTGACTAAGCATGGGACAGAAGGAGCACGTGCTACGGCTGAGTCGCTCGCTCACCTGGTTCATGTGTCCTGCTAACACACCCAGGAGTTCAGCTGTTGTCAGATTTGGGATCAGAAGGAAATTCTTCCTCTCCACCAGGCTGGCAAGCACTGTGGGATAGACCAAGGAGCTGCCCTCCTCCACAGTGCGAAGCAGGCTAGATACCGGGGGCTGTATTACAAAGTTCCCTGGATACACCACCTCCCTGTGTCACAACCATCGTCCTCACTCTCCAGCTGTTTTGCACATCCCTAAGGGCACGCTAAGATCAGTGGATGCTCCTGAGCTTTCCACAGCCACAGGGAAGGCCACTGCAGGGTATCACAGCCTTGGTCCTATGTTTTCACGGTGCTCCTTCCCCACGAGTGCTGCCCAGCCTACAGCCTCGCTCAGCCGTGTCACTGTCAGTGGCCAAACTCACACACTGGTAGAACTCCCGGTAGCGGCCCCTGGTCATGGCCGGGTTGTCCCGCCTGTACACCTTGGCGATGTGGTAGCGCTTAATGTTGGTGATCTTGTTCATCGCCAAGTAGCGAGCGAAGGGCACCTGGGACAGCAGGGTTAAGGATGGGAAGGGAGAGGGATCACCCCGCCCACTTATCAGGCACAGGCAGTGCTGGGTCCTCACTATCTCCCCAACGCCCAGCACAATGTGGTGCACACCCGTGGGGCAAAGCAAGTGCTAGGAGACAGCTGGACTTGCCACAGCTCCCATCAGCGTCCCTACAGGCATCTTCCAGCTCCACCTGAGGCCGGATCTCAGTCTCATGTGGGCTGTGTACCACAGCAGCCTGGTCCGGGTACCCAGCTGTAGGAGAAACCCCTCTCAGTACAGACCTTCCTTACTTCCACATCGAAGTGTTACTTTGCCAAACAGAGGCAACGTACAGTAAACAGCTGAGCAAAGGTTCTGCACCCACTGAACCACACTGCCTGCTCACGCTCTCCCTGTAGGTACGAGGTCAGAGCCAAGAGATTGTCCTCCCTCCTCCTCCGCTGCCCTCTGGGCAGCACTGCCCCAAGAGGAGGGCAGCAAAGGTGACAAGACCCCCTCAGCACTGGCTGTGGCAGGATACTGTCAGGTCGTAGCGCAGGGACAGCAGCTCTCCTCCTTGATCTTTCAGATCATAGATGAGCTTCGAGTCTTCACCGTATTTCCCTGTCAGTGTCTCCTACAAAAAAAAAAAAAAAGGACACACAGACAAACAGCATCTTTAGTGACAGAGGATCAGCCCTAGAGCTCGCAGAAAACAAGGAGAGAAAAGGAGGACCCCCTAGGAGATGGAAGAAGAAAACTCAGCCCTCAACACAGCGCAAGATTCCACCTGCAGGATCCTCAGCAGCTCGGGCAACTTGCCGTGTCCTCACTCACCTTCAGCTCAAACACCGGCGTATCAATGACCTCCGCTCCGTGGCGCTTGAAGCAGGTGATGATTGCACTGAAGACCCTCTCACGAATGGCCATTTGCTTGGGGTTGTAGTCCCGTGTGCCCTGGAGTGAGACACGGAAAAGAGCAGCAAAGGACACGTTAGGTGAGAGGAAGAAGCTGTCATACTGCTAACAAAGCCAGGGAGATCAGGTCCAGACACCAGATCTCGGGAGAGGTGGTAAAAAGCAGCACCAAAACCACTAGAACACACCAGGACGCAGCTCAGACATGACCTGCAGAGCTAAATCTAAGTCAGGAGTTTCACGACGCAGGAAACAAAGGAGCTAGCAGAGATCCAACAGTCGGAGTTCAGCGCTTTCACGCACAACAGCGCAGCTGGGATCTCTCCACAGCTCTCCCTCAGAAGGATTAGCCAGACCCCTGCGCGACGAGCCACCCCGAGGGGTGGGATCAGAGGACAGGCACACTTTGAAGCTGTGGAACAACCAGCACCTCAACAATTTCCAAACACACACAGAGCAAAATAATCTTTTCAGAGCGCGATACCTGTGAAGTGCCTGCCCACTGCTCACTGGGACGTGCTGCCTTTGCATTTCTTCGCTGTTAAGAGCCAACGAATTATTTTGATGACATTTTTAGGTTCTCAGCGACACATAAACCACTTCATTAACCAGACCTCCCACTTTCGTTTTCTGGAGACTGGCAGTTAGGCAGGAGGAAGCAGAGAGAGGCACTTCCTAACATCCCACCTGCAGGTCACACAGCGAAGATCAGCAGACTGAGGTGTCTGAGACAGGCTGGAAGCCCAAGCTGGGTTTCCCTGGCACTCAACGAGCTGCAAAATCCCTTATCCACATCTCTGAAAAGTGAAATATCCTTCCACTTCCCAGGTCTCACATCACAATTACATTTACCAAAACATACGATCAAGGACATGGACAAGGGAGACAATTTGAGACATTTCCTAAGTCAGTAGCATTAATGGAACTTCTTTTGTTTGTTACCAACGTTCATAACCATCTCCACACCACAGCATGGAAGTGCAGCTGGTCTCTGGTCAGCTGCCAGTAACAAAACACTAAAGTTACAAAAATATTTCAGCATTATGGACACTATTCTCAGGGGCCTGGAGACTGAAAAGCTACCTCTGAAGGAAAGGTCCTTCTGCAAGAGGACGTAGAAATGTCAGCAGCTGGCCAGACCGCCCAGTAAATGGGAATACCCATTCCCCCAGACTAAGGCAAGATCAAAACCCAGGAGATCTTCCTTGCTCCCTACATTTCAACATGTCCTGAGCATTCCTGGCAAACACTGCCAGGCACCTGGGTTTCCTTGGCTGGCTTCTGCTTCGCAGTTCCCCCACAAGGAGCCTTGCACCAGCAGAGCCACACCAGGCAGCACGCCGTGCTCACCCAGCCTACCAGCAGCACCACCCACTCTGCCCAGGTTAACAGGGAAAAGGACCAGCTTGAGGATCTGTGATCCACCAGAGCCAGTGTCTGCAGGTACTAGCAGGGTCAGTGCTACAAGAGCTGAAGAGTCTTAACCCTAAACTTACCAGGGCAATGCAAGTCATGACCTTCCTTCAAATAGTGCCACCCAAGCAGGCAGGAGACCTCTCATGCTAGGCCGCTACAATAACGCTTGACCAAAGGGGAATTTAATTTCCTGACCACACCTAGTGGTTGGCTTGTCACAGAAGTACCAGAACATCTCTAAGTTAGTAGGGTATCTGGGTCAGATGCTGTCAGGGATGTTTTCACCCCTCTCTTCCCTGCTGCTAAAAGGGAAACAGAAACGAGAACAAAGACAGGCAAGTCTGCGCTGAGACTCTGCACAGGCGGGCGCGTGAGGGGTGCTGTATGTGCGCACGGGAGGAGGTGCTGCATACGGAAAGGCACGTGAGCACGTGCTGGGAGAAGTTACCTTTGGGGTCTTGAGCACAAACTTGTGTTTCCCTTCATCTCCCCCCAGCTGCGCCTTCATCTCCAGCAGTTTCGCCACCTCCTTTGCGATCTGGGCAGGGAACAAGGAGGGCGCTGGGGGTAAGCCTATCTGCCAGGCCCAGCCCGCGGACCTCCTCCAGCACCTTCAGCCTCAGCACTCCCCGTACACCCAGACTTCCCAACCTCAATGCATCCACTATTCCCAGTCTCCCACAGCAACCAGAGGAGCACTCCCTGCTCCAGTACTCCGCTCCAGTTCTGCTACAAGCACCCCAAGCTCAGCGCCTCCAACATTCTCTGACTCCCACGACCTCCATGACCCTTCACATCCGCCCCCCAAGTCCCCACACGTCCTGCCCTACCAGCATTTGCACCCCCCAAGGCCCAGCATCACCAGCTCCTGCTACGTACATCCCAGCATCCGCAGTCTCCAGCAT